GAGCAGGGTGTACCCATGAGCCCTGGTTCCCATCACCCTGCGGCCCACGCCCTCTCCTCAATTTCCTCTCTTACATGCTCTCACCTGATCCGTCCCTATTCCTCTTACAGCTCGCGCCATTCTATATACTATCTACCGGTGCGTCTCTTTCTCTCTCGCGTGTACGCCACGCATTACCTTCCCTCACGATGCTACGATACATTGTATGTATGTTTCTACGCTGCGACTAAACCGATGCGCTTGCTCAAGCTGATTGAGGTTCAAAAATATATGTTACGCGGATTTATACTATTATTACAAACAATTGTAATAATTCTAAGAATAACAAGTCATACCTTAAAGGTAAAGCTACATCCTACATATCCCAGCTATAAATGGATTTATTCTCTATTCTCTATCATGAATTATAAAAATAACTGTTACGTGACCAAAGCATGTATTCTTATTATCAATTTTGAGATTAGTAGACATCAGTTATAAGCAGGGGTGAATTTTAATATTGAATTACAAATAATCACAGCAAATAAATTAAATAAAAAATTACAACTTTACAATGGATAATAGCTATATGCAACAAGAAGTGATTTTATAAATATGTGATGTCATATCAAATACACAAATAGATATTACCTTTTTTCGGGGCAGAGTCGTAAAAGTTTTTGTTTCGTTTTACATTATATAACCAACAACTAGTACATGTCTTAATTTACATATGACAGCAAACATGGAAGTACTTAGAATGCGCAAATCGCGTGAAATACAAGTAGTATGTATAAGAATATGTATTTCATGTATGCGTGTGCTCGAATACGTAAGAATAATAAAATGTTGACTTTTTAAATATCGGATTCTTCGAGACCTGTTGAAATAAGGTGTGATCTAATTTCCTTAGTTTCTATTATACCAAGTTTAATAACACTTGAGTTCGAAGTCTCACTTCTGCTGGGGTCCTGAGACCCACACCTGGCATTTTTTCCCTTAAAATATAAGTATTGAAGAGTAGCACGCCTAAAACCCAACTGCTTATGTTAACTTCTTCTTGTTTTAATTTAGGGAAAAATTAAACCTTCATGATGGAAAAGGTCCCGTAGCAATCGCACTTGAATTGTTGGTAATATTAAATTTGCAATAAGGTTTTTTTTTGCAGCTCTTTTCACCATTAATCTCTTTTGAAAATAAAAGTTATTTAATAAGAGATGTTTCATACAACTCTTTACAAATAAAATAAGCTTTCGCTAGACAGTGTAGAGTACCGTGTAGCTGTAGAAATTCATCATCAAAAAACTGCTTTTTTATAAACAATTGCAACTGTGCAAAAACGGTTAAACATACAACATCCAGGTTTGGAGGTGTTGTAGTAACATACAAGAGTTTTGATTTCTCTGCATGAAAAAACCTTTCAGAATAATTGCTTATCAGTTAAAAACAAATTTCAAAAACCGCTATTTTGGCGGTTACTCAGATTTTCCAACCTAACTAATTATCCGATTGTTAACCATCACGCTCATTTTGTAGGTCTTATGAATACCTACATTTTTCATCAGAGATATCTTTCTATAAATCCAACAGGAAAAATACAACAATCAAAATAGTAGTTTTCCTACGAGTTTGAAAAGTCTTTGTTTGCGAACCGAGAGGTTTGCGGCCCGAGCCGAAGGCGAGGTCCGTAACGAGGTTCTTAAGGAGACTTTTTGAACGAGTTCCGGAAAACTGCTTTTTCGCCCGAGGAAGTACTAGCCTCCCAAAACCACCCGAGGGCGGAAAAATAAACAGAGACTTTTCAAACTCGTAGAAAAACTACTATTTCCATGCCTTTTTAGGTTAAGAAATAACTTTTCAAACAAACTGAAATGTCCAAACTAATTTATTATTGATACTTACCACAAAAAGCTTCCAAAACAGGCGACAAACTAACGTCAACACATTTTTTTGCCAAAATGCCCTTTTCCTGATGTAATAGTCATTTTTTGGAGCTATTTAAATGATTATGATCAAAATATCCAATTCACAGTTGAAACCCTATTGATGATGGAATAATTTTTTTTAGAAATCATAATAAAAAAATTTCAAGATTAGTGCAAGTTCATTGATAACAAATATGTTTAAGAATCGCACACATGCTGGCATATGTTTAAATGTTCACTCTCACTCTACATCGCCCCAAAAAATCGATATTATTTACGGCTTGGTCGATAAAGCTATTAGGTTGTCTGAAAAACAGTTTCAGAATGACAACGTGTGCTACGTATACTCTGTATTGATGGCTAACAATTTTTTCTGCATTTTATCAATATATACGTTAGTTGAGGATTAAATAAAATAAATAATAAGATGAACAAAAAAAATGATACTACAACAATTTAAAACTTACCTTATAATGATACAATAGTTTTATGCAAAACAATGTCCATAGAATCAAAATCTAAAAAAATTGTCAACAAACTTGGATTGAATGTAGTTTACAGGTTATTAGGTCTACTAATAAGTGCAAAAAACTTGACAACTCATAAAAAATGTAAAAAGTGCTATACTGATATTTATTGTGATGTATGTAAAAAAAAAATCAGCTCGATTTACATATACCCTTGGTACAGGACACTTTTTAATTTTGGTAGTGATTCAATTAAAATTGTGAAAGAAAAAAATAACGATCATGAACGCGTAGTCTCAGAGATAATTAACATTGAAGAACGAAAAAAAAGCCTTAGAAGAACCAGTTATTTACAAAAATTAAGTTAAATTTTTAAAAAGTACATTGATAATCTTTTTTTACTCTTGACATAACTTAAATATTTATATACTATGTTATATTTTTTTGTATTTATTTGATCGTATTTCTAGTTTATTAATTTTTAGTTGACAAAATTTTAGTTTTGTTATATTTATTTTAGAAGAATTTCTGAAGTTGCTTGCTAGTAGATCTAAAAAGTTGAGCCATTGTCATTATTTTCTCAGTTTATGTATGCGTCGTGTGACTTTTTTTTATGTATTCTTATTTCCTTTTTATATTTACGGTCAGCTTGAAAATTTTTTTCAATATAGAACCGAAACTTCGTACTCTTGGAACTAAGAATAAAGACTTTCAACAGTATGCTATAAAATTCAAGTCAAAGCTAGCATTTTTAAAACTTTTCTCTACTATGTCAAAAAATTTGAGAAAAATATTATTAACTGGTAATAGAATCTTAATCTAACAGTTTCCCTGTTGTTTTGTACGATGTTATTCAGAATTTATGTTTAGAAGTTGATAATTCTTTTTAATACAAATTGCTTATAATTTCATTGTACTGTTTCATGATCGTTATTTTAAAAAAGGTTATCTAATTGTCTCTTCGTACATTATAAATTATAAGCTGATGTTATAACTGCTGAAAAGTTTGATAAGAAGATCAATGTTTACTTTTTTAATTAGGTAGTTGAATCGTCAATTAAGAAACTCCGAAAAGCGGCTCCACATTACACTTAGTTTTTAAACTACTTTAACAATCCCTGTAATGAATTTATAACAAATTAGCATCAAAAAGAATCGTCAACTAATAGATTTTTTAAGTTTGAATGAAATTATACAAAACATCAGTAGACTAACAAATTTTTAATTTGACCAGTGTAGACATAAAACCGTCTGATACTTTGTTCAATGAATAAAATTTAATAGTTGTCTGATACTACTCGAAAAAAACTATCCAGCTTTTTTAGTAAGAAACATATTTATTTACTAGGAATCACAATACATATTACATCATATGTACAAAGTAACGATGTAAGACAAGAAAAAGTAAGATAGATTTCTTAGATAGCACCAATATTGCTTGAGGAGTCTTATAGGATGCCTGTTTAGAAAAATATACGGTCAAAACGAACACAGACTTGAAGAGAGGATATGTGAAAACTAAAACAACTATTTAAATGAACTTGTAGTTTCTATAAGTCAGGCTTCTAATGGTCACATGTTTAAATATAGTGATATAAAAATATTGAACAAAGAACAGTATTATGATGCACTTTTGATCTCTAAAATACTTGACATTGTATGTGCATATCACATCATTAATAGAAAAAAGGACACATAAGCTTCGAGTCATACTTATAGGAGATATTTCAAAGATATACGCTTTTAGTTGCACATGCGTGTATGTGTATACATATCGGCACTTTAAATTTAGGTCGGCATGCTTCTTTTATTCAAAGAAGATTATGCATATGACGAGCTACAAACTAACAAATACTGTTAATTTGACGTCTTTACAAATCTGACTTGCGTGCAAGAAGATTGATCATACGTAAAAAATTTCTGTTACATTTTTTTTAGGTTGTTTGCTGTTTTTCTCTTTATGTCTTACATACCTTGTGCATTCAAAATTTTTTATTGTTAATGTTTCTATTATTTGAAAAAAACTAAAAATATCCTGATTTTTCAATAAACTCTTATACCATTACAAAACCTGAACAGGATTCTAGTACCGTTACACAGTTCACTTTTTATAATTCAGGTATAAAATATGTGTTTTAAAAAATAGCAACAAAGGCAGATATCACAACTTCTATAAAAGAACTTAATCACAGAGATACAAAAGCTTTGAAGTAGAGACAGTTGAATATGAGCTTAGTAACAAATCCTCAGAGCTAATCTTAATACAAGTAAGGTGCTTTAACTGTCAAAGGGCATTCGACGTTGATTAAAGCAACAATTGTAACATTGGTTTGCTAATTGTGTAGATAACATTTGAAACATATGTCTCAAATTATATGCAGATAGATCTTAAATTTTTTTTATATGTTATTAGTTTTTGCATAGAAAATGAGCTGAAGAATCATAAGGTAAAAGAAAAATAAATTATCTTCTAACGTACACATATGTTAAAAGTAATTATTTTTGGTTGGGGTTAGCACAAGATTAAACAGTCTTTACGAATATATTTATTCACAAAATGAAATAGTTAAGACTGACAAAGTGAAAAAATTACAATTCTTTAATTAACACATTATTTATTATATTGGCCCTTAAAGAATGACAGCAGCAAGAAATTTTGTTTCGTATGGACATTTTGAAAAAGAAAAAAAATTGTAGAGTATAAAATATTATAAATAACGTTTATTTTCTACATCGAATCTAAGAAAACTATATTCATGTTATAATTTTAGATAATTATTAAATTTTATTTTATTCTTGTTTTGAATTTTACTTCAATAATAATATGATTTTCACAATTCTGTATGATTTTTGATTACTTCTTATCAGAATAGTTAGGTAATATTTTTGGAATTCTTGAATAGACAGATAATTAAGATATAGTTGTGTTAAGTTGTGTTAGTACAAACTTAGTACAAACTTTAAGTATTATTCTATTGCTTTAATTAGAAATTCTATAAAACGTTTTCCATACTGTTCTGGATCACAAGTTGAAATCCCATCTACGTTTGCTCCATATTTTACAGTTTTTGCTGCCTTGGCTGCTTGTTTACGTACACCGTAATGTGTCAAAACGTCAATAATTGCTAGAAAATATATTTCTTTTTCAGGTGCACCTGCAACATATAGTATGAGCATTTATCAATGTACAAAAAAACATTGTATATCTTATTCTAGATAATCTATATCACCATGTTGTTGCCAATGACATGCTTCGCAGATGAAAAAAATTGTATTGTGTGATACTTTGATATTATAGGTAAGATTTTTTTTGTACATTTGAGTCAGCAAGACACAAATTATTTTCCACACAAGAAAAAGTTGTAGGCCAAAAGAATATGATGGAGAAAACACGATGCTCTGAATCAATGTCTGATACCTCGTTTGTATCTTTTTATATTTTTGTTTGAAGCTACTTTGAAACAAAAATAGGGATTAAAAGAGCTTTAAAAATAGGTATTAAAAATTTGCTTAGGTTAAGGACAAAGCTAATCTTTTCTTCAGCTTCATCTTTTTCTCCGATCAATACTGTTGTCAAGAATTTTAGCAAATCATTGCTCTGCAAAGTAACTACAGTCAATGTATCTAAAAACTTACAGCTAAGGCAACTCACTGTACTAATTTGCCGTTACATATGAAGAGGCTTGACACTCAAAACTATGCTTTGCATACTAAACAGCACTTTCAAATTTGTAAAAAAAATAAACAAAGAAATAGGTTTATCGTTTTTGAATTTAAGAAGGCTTGGAAGTATCATTCAGAAAGGTGAGGAACAGGAAGTCTCTCCATCACGCATATATGTACTCCCTTTACCACATACCTCTTCTTGCCCTCTACAAACTTGAAACTGTACGATTGTAATCAGTTATGTTTTTGAAAAATTCCTGACAAGACATGATTTTTTTGTCGTGCATCTTTCTTTTGTACTAAGGTATCTATAAAAACGTTTTAACACATTTATAATATCTTAATTTCAACTTAACGTCAGTCTAACCTTGTTTTCTTAGAAAAGACCGTGTTGAACTGTTAATATTTAATAATTTTTCGAAAATTTCCTTGGTAGAAAATTGAAAACATTTAATGTGCACTCCTGATGTATATGTATATGTATATCAGGATCGAATAAATGCGTACATGTATATCAGAATCAAAATCAAATCAAATTAGATGCTTAAATATTACATGTACTTTTTTTGTACGATTCTACGTTTTTAACTTTTCTCCTCATCCTCCTTAAATCACAGATGCTCTTCAGTTACTACTGCTTTGTATACTCTTAAGTACGCAAAGGGCAAATATCTACTATCATAAGCAAACACACAATTTTAAGCAGTTAAAGCTCAGCTACGTTTTCCTTGCAGGACAGTCCACTATAATCAGTATGGGACATTGTTCCACTAAATATACATTGGTTCTAAACACACGAATTCCGCTTTTTTCTATTGTAACTGAATGAATTCTCATGACAAAGAATTTTTCTTTAACTATGTGAAAATATTAAAAAATAAAAAAATGACTAGGGTGCTGAGGTACAAACGACTAGGCTTGAAGATATAAATTGATTTTACTTTGACACTGAAAATCTTGAAATTCCTACGCTAAAACTTTGATGGCTTTGAAGTGAAGCCTGAATAGCATTGGCTACTGACTACTGGCTGACATTTGATTAACCTATACCATGAAAGAGCGCTAATTTTAGATGTATTTTTTATCATAAAATTCATCATGTTATCGGTTCCGACAAATGGAGTATTTTTTAAAACGAAAAAATTTAGAAATTAAACTATGAGAAAATACAGATGAGAACGAAAGAAATAGCAAAAATGCTCACTATGCACCACCCACGTTGCCATTTTTTTTGCTGTCGAAAAAAAAAGTTTAAGAGTAGTACATCGTTATAAAAGATCCCTGGATCAGTCAAAGCACAGTATCTCGAGAAAGTGCCTATATTCACTTCACAGTTCGTTTTGCTTTTAAATAGCAGAAGTGATAACAACAGTAGTCATAATAAAAGAGATAAGATTAACCATAAAAAAAGACGGAAAGAAATTGTAGTTATTTTTCAAATTTTCGTTACATCATTATCTTATTATTATTCGTGTTTCATTATTTAAACTTATCTTCTTTAGTCACGACCAATCCATGGTAGTGCCTTATATTTTTAAGAGGATTAAATATTTGTCAGACTCAAAAGTGTACTTACTTATGAATCATCCATTTTTCCATCTGAAAACAATATTTTTTTAATCTAGTTTAAGGGTGATTTAAATTTTACACATCACGTTTGTATAAAGATGTGTACATTAACAAGTTTTTTAACTAACTAAAGTACTGTAGCACTTCAATAAAATTTTTTTTCACTTTTACTTCTTGCGAGTAGATTTTATACGCTTACGTTCCACGTTATAAATGCTAATAAAATGCAACATTCTTATGCAACACATTTTAGTTACGTATGCAATCCAGAGGTCCTTTAATAAAGAAAGGTATGAAGAGAGTCTGAATCGCTCAAACAAAAGAATAAGTTTAATGAGTAATCCTACAATTATTAAGTATAGAAGTTGTAGATTTTAAAAAATTATACTTTTTACAATAATTATTTTTGTCTGTATAGTCGTTCTGACACTTAGAACAAAAAATTGATGAAAAAATGCCAAAAATCGTTTAATATCGTAAAACTCTGTGACATGACATTTCCGACGTTTAATGCTGATAAAAAACTGACGGATAATATAAAAATAAGCTTTTCGTGTTTACTATTTCTGTTTATAGTGTCTTTCTACTGCAGAGGAAAATGAAAAATCTTTGACGATAGTTAAATAAGTATTGTGTAGTATGTTACTTCTTTACTTAAGATTTACTGACATTTACTTATTTAGTAATCGTTTGGATATTATATTTAAAATCACATTGATCTTAAAACTATAATTGAAGACATAAAGTTGCACTTTTTACTGTGTTGATTCACAGGTTGTCCAAGATGTTTTGCATAAAATGTTTCACTTGTTTATAAAAACTAATGATGACCAGATTAGTGTAATTTTTCAGGTGTCTGATTAAGTAACGTAAGCATAAGCTTGAATAAGCTTCATTACCCATAGGCACACTTTGTCCCTGCTGATCACTTTGTCTCCTAAGATTTAAGTGCATGAAGGGCGCAAAACAAGTCCCGAAAGCGCAAGGACTTTGTGCCCATGGTAAGCAAATATAATTTTTATGTGCAAAATTTATTTTAACAAAAAGCTTACGTCACCTTTGTCATGAATAGATAAATAAGTACATATATACACTGAGAAAAAAGTCATGCAGTTTCTGCTGTGCTCCCATGAAGAAAAGGCAGTGCTGCCACATGCAGCGAATATCTAGCGAAAACTGCGTTAGTGTCATGCAGTTTTGGCATGTATGACGTCAGCGGCAATACTTTCATGTAGCAGCGAATAACGACTTAAATACGTTATCATGTATCTTCTTAATATAAAACTTGTATGAAATTGTTCCTTTGCAAATTAAAATTTAAGCAATCAGAGCAAGATCAGAATGATACATAATGTTTTTTGTAAGTGTATTATGATTAACATAACAAATATAGTAAATTATACACAGTAAATTACAGCAAAAGCGGTAAATTACAAAATATATTTTGAGGCGACAAACAATAATTTTACTTTTTTGTATAAAGTGCCTTCAGAAATACATGGCAATTCTTTTACATTTTTTATTAGGAAATGATTTATTTCTTTTACATTGTATGCGTAGTAATTTGGATCCAAAAAGTTATTTATTAACGGCTGTAACATTACAAAGACGTTCTCATCTGTTACTTGTATATTCTCAATACACCTTAATAAAATATTTCGATTTTCGCAGATTTCTACAACTATTGTCAAATTTATGTTATGTTTTACACCATTTTATTCAAAACGTTTCACTGAAATTATACTTGTATCACTTATTACATAGGAAAAAAATTTTTTTGTCTGAAATCGTCAAGACTCTATTAATTACTAAGTTTAATTAGGTTTGTCACTGAATTGACTACTTCAGTTATTCTCAAAAAATATAGTTAAAGTGAGCTCTTTATACACAATGTTTTTAACAAATATTTTCGATTATTCGTAGTTATAGAAGTAAGTTTAAGTTGCCTATTCTTAGACTCAAATCTCATGCTCAAATACTAAACTAAAGGTCCAATTTCAAATCACCGTATAACTTTGTACATAACTCAAGAAAATCTATTATTAAATTTTTTAATTTAAGTTTAAAGCCTATTATTAATTGTTGTGAGGGCTCAATATATATAATTTCTATTAATTTTGTGTATAAGTTCCACGAATTACTGAATTTATCAACTTTATTACCTATTATTAGTCCAAAATAGCGGAAAAATGTTAACATTTCTAAGGTGGATAGCTTGATGTTTTTATTTGCTATAATCTGTTCTTTTTTAATTTGTAGGACCGTGACAGCACTATTTTTACCTTCAAATGCTTGGAGCTCTCCATTCAAAAATTCTTAAGTTTACATTTTCTCTTTCTGTATAAGATCAAGTAAAATATTGTTCATTGCCAAACTTATTTGCCTCACTTTTAAATTCATCATGCATCAAACCAAGTGTTGTTTTTGCACACATGATACCCATCCACCTTATAACACAAGCATAACTCCCTTACAAAAGTCTCTAAAGGACTGTTTAGTTAAACGACATTTTCGTATGCAAACACTGATCTGAATAATGATTCACTCTCACGAGTAGTTTTTTAAATATTTTCTATTAGTAATTAACATATTCTCCTTGGTTTACCATGATTGAGGGTATTATTAAATCCTAAATCTTCATCGAGACCTTTCTTGACTTTCAACAAGACCTTGTTAAAAAAATACGTAATGCGCTCGCGAGAGAGCCATTACTGATTAATTTCCAAAAAAAAGCACGAAATTATCTTAATGAATAAGTAATGAAACATAATTTATAACCAAAATTTTTCTAAATTTCATTCCAAGTTTTACATTGTATAAAATAACAAACAATATCAGTTTCCTTTGATAATTGGTACATATAAGTTATTATTTCATAAAATTTCTATGACGTTTTCTCAAGGTATTTGAGAGACCGTTT